GAGCCAACACAGCCCCCAGCAAAGCCGCGGTGCCACCGGCACAGACCCCGCTCCATTCACTCTCTTTAGTTCTGTAATCGGGTGCATCCATTCCCAAGTTTTTGGGGTGCTTTTGCTGCACTTTGGGTCATTCCCAGCCCAGAGCAATGGGAGATGCTCTGCACTTTCAGTGTGCTGGTCCCACTCGCCAAAGGTGGGGCAATTTGGGCTGCCCATCAGCTCCTTCCCTATTTGGCAGCTCATTAGCCGGAGCTTTTAATTGGAGTGGCTGCCAAAGGCAGGGAGACACCAGGGGAAGGCAGGTGCCCCACGAGCATCTTCTTTCCACAAGTAAGGAGTGAAGGGGACCCTGCTTCTGACCACCCTCATTTTTGGCAGCAAAACAAGAGGCTTTAGCATTACCCAGGGATCTAAATCCCCACTTGCCGTATTGCTGCTGATGTCCCAAAAATCTCGCTTTCCACAACACCATGGTGGCATCTGGGCTCCCTGGGCTGAGGCCAGTGCTACAAATAGCCCCATCACCACCTCCTGGGTCCCAAAATATCCCTCTGCCTGCCCCCCCCCACTGGGAGATGCTAAATACAGCCTCTCTGGAAGCTCCTAGCACTTTCCAGGGAGCTGCCAAACCCCAGGGACCTTGAGATCCCCCCAAACTTGTCACAGAGAGGCCATTTTGCTATAAATAGAAGCAAAGCTTCACAAGCCATCACTCGTGGCTGGAGCTGTGACCATGGGGCGTTTTGGGGGCATATGGACCGTGTGGAGGGATTTGCTGGGCACCCCCCAACAAAGAGGCTGTCACTCCACATTATTTTTCATTCTCTTGGCATTTTCTGCAAAGCCTCGATTATTCCTTGTAATAATGATCTAGAAGAATGTGATGCAGAGTCCCTCACCCACCCCCAAAAAGGCTGGCGGGGAACGGGCCATCCCCTCTGCGTGCTTAGAAGCTCAATACATAAAAATGTGAGTATTTATAGAGCTATATATATAGATTCAAGACACAATATGTCTCAGAGGTGATGACGGCACGGCCTGAGCCGGGCCACCAGTGTTGCTGCCGTCACTGTGCTGTAAATCTCACTGCACGCCACTTCCACCCTGTGCTGGTGGAGCCAAAACCTGCTTCTCTCAGGATTTCACCAAAAAACTTGGGGTCTGGAGCTCCCTTTCCAGCCCCTGAGTGGCTCCTGAGCTGTTCTGGTGGCTGGTTTTGTGCTGGACAGCCCCTCAGGGCACTCACTGCCTGGCCCTAGCACAGGGATGCCCTTCACGTGAGGGAGGGGATGCTCGGGCATGACACACTTTGGAAAACATCCCACTCCCCTTTGCACTACGTGGGTTTGTAAAGGCACATTTCCAGCTGTATCCATCAGGCATTCCTTGTCGCCCTGATTGCTCCGAGGCAGTATTCACATAGGTGAGCAACCTCATCTCCCAGCACTCCAGCTGTGGGTTGTCCTTTTCAAAAACAACTTTTTTGGGGGAAATTTTCATTAAAAAGTTATTGTTTGTCCCCAGGAGAGTGAAAAACCAAAAACCTTAACCAAGCAACAAACCCAACCAAACAAAAACCAACAGAAGCCTGAGCCAGAACAAACTCACATTAGAATGGAAATGGTTTTTCAGGCTGGTTTTATCCCCCATACCTTCCGAGGCTCTTCATTTGCCAAGCAGCTTAATTATCCTTTAGTGAAAGCCTTTTCTCTGAGTGACTCTAATTGCAGGCCTGGGTAATTGGTCTCATTTCTGCAGTGTGTTTGGAGCTGGGGATTGCTCTCCCCCCCCAGCAGATGTGACCCTCCCCACCTCCCTCCCTCACCATTTTAACCAGTTCTCCTGGTTTTCTGCCCACCCTCCCAGAACCCCTCCCCCGGCTCCCAGGGCAAAGCAGCAGCCCCTCACAGGGGAGCCCAGGCACAGGCAGGCACCTGCCTGGCTCACAGGTCTGACTCAGCTCCCCTGAGTCACAGCCCCATGTCCTGCAATTAGGATTCCCCCCCCATTCCCAAAGCCCTCAGCTCCCACCTGCCAAGAAAAGGCTTCCCAAGGATGCCAGAGAGGATTTCACACTGTCAGACAGTGGTTGCATCATCCCTCTCTGAACCAGAGTGACAACAGAGACAACAGGTTATCAATTAAGACAAGTTTTATTAGAAAAGTAAAAAACCACCGACACGATTGCATAGGAAGTCTTGCACTTGAACATCAAGTGTAGGAGTGTAAACTGTAACCAATGAAGCACCCACAGCGTGTCACGGTGAGGGGTCCTGCCCTCCGCCCCTGTGTCACCTCTC